GGCTTGTCTTGCTCCACAAGCATCTTGACCGTCGGAGAGGTGAAGGTGATGTAGGCTGGCCACCGGCGGCCACGGGGGATCAAAGGGCTGGGGAGGCCGATATTTGCCGAGAACAGACTTTGTTCTGGAAGCCAAAAGGCAGAGAAAAGTTTAGAAGGCAGCAAGCCCAACCAGCTACGTTCCCGTTTGCTATGACGGCCGCAGGGGCCACACGGGAAGGCCCGAATTCACCATGGCTCTCACAGAGCGCCGGGAGGAAAGGCTGGGTTTCCAGCCATCGGTGCCTCGCCAGATAACGGCTCCCATGTCAGGCAAGGAAAGGTTTTCTCCACACCCTTGCGGAGGCAGATTCGTGTCCGAGGCAGTGCCAGGAGGAGCAGCAGAAAGCACAAGATCTGCCAGCACCAGCCAACAGGAAGGGGGAGCGCTCACGAAGAGGCAGGATCAGAGAGCAGGGCCCCCACTCAGGAGAGCCCAGTGACTGCTGCTGTGCCCGAGGGAGCAATTGCATGGCTGGGCCCTACCATCCCTTGCTCTGTTATGTTAAACAGAAGCTACCTATTTAGGCTACGTCTCCACTTATCAGAGGATCAGTGCTCTGGAGATCGATCTTCCAGAGCTTGATTTAGTGGGTCTGGTAAAGACTTACTAAATCGAATGCTGAGGGCCCCACTATTGGCACTGGTACTCCTTGCTGACAAGAGGGGTAAGGGAAGTCAATGGGAGCATTTCTCCCATCAACCTCCTGCTGTGGAGATGGCGCCAGGCTCTGCTTAAGTTACATTGACTCCAGCTACATTATTTATATGGCTGGAGTTGCATACCTTAAACCGACCTTCGGGTGTAATGTGTGCCTGGCCTCAGGTACTTAGTTCTTTGCTATCTAGATAGTGTGACCTAGTGGACAGCGCTGCAGGTGAACACTCCAAAAACCTGAGTTCTGTTCCTGATTCTGTCACTGGCCTTCTGGGTGACCTGCTTTGTGCCTCACTTTACCTTTCTGTAAAATGGGCACAATGACCCTGACCTCCTTCATAAGTCCTTGGAGACCTACTGATGACAAGCGCTAGGCGTTCTTGTTCACGGATGGCCGGGGCTGCTCTTGCTATTCCAAACAGCCCTCTCTTGAAGATAGCAGGGAACTAAGGTCCAGATGAAGCCCTCACATATAAATTACCCAAAAGAAGGCAGGCAAGGGAAAGGAAACAAAAGCCATGCTTAGCATCGAGCAGAGCTGTCCAATGCCCCAGGTCAAATGGAGAATCAGTATGGGTATGTCTACACTACAAAGTTAATTCGAACTAACAGACGTTAGTTCGAATTAACTTTGATAGGCGCTACACAGGCAAACCGCTAGTTCCAACTTAATTCTAACTAGCGGAGCGCTTAATTCGAACTAGGTAAACCTCATTCTACGAGGACTAACGCCTAGTTCGAATTAGCTAGTTCGAATTAAGGGGTGTGTAGCCACTTCATTCGAACTAGTGGGAGGCTAGCCCAACTAACAGACGTTAGTTCGAATTAACTTTGATAGGCGCTACACAGGCAAACCGCTAGTTCCAACTTAATTCTAACTAGCGGAGCGCTTAATTCGAACTAGGTAAACCTCATTCTACGAGGACTAACGCCTAGTTCGAATTAGCTAGTTCGAATTAAGGGGTGTGTAGCCACTTCATTCGAACTAGTGGGAGGCTAGCCCTCCCCAGCTTGCCCTGGTGGCCACTCTGG